AAAATATATTTCTTTTAAAGAGATATTAGCTTTTGACATGCTATCCTATAATTAATTAGACTCAAAATTGAAACAAAATATTTTAATTTGAATCAAAATTGAAGGTTACACTACGATATGCACACTTATTATAAAAGGTTAGTTAATTTAGTGTCATATTCGACTACATGTTTACAGCTACAACATTCATCAAAAGGTTAGTTTTTCTTTCGTGTGTTTAATATTCGTTCAGCTATGATGGTCTTAGAATATAATTCTTTTAGTCTTTCTTAATTTCTAATTAAATTTTCATCTCTCTTTAGGACATGCACTCATAAAATAATCAACAAACTAACAAGTTTTCACGACAGAAAAGACTTGTAAATTTGAAAATTAAGCCAGCATGTGATGCTATGAAACCCAGGGGTCAACTATAGAGAATTCAAAAAATGTGAAAGTTAACAAAATAAGTTGTAGAAGTCAATTCTTCATTTTTATTTCAAATTATAATATTTCTCTTTAATTATATGTAATATAGTTATCGTTAGGAATGTTTATTTTTAATTTGTAATTAATTCTCATCAGAGTTGTAATATAAACAATTAATTCTAAGATTATATAATATTAATCAAAAGAGAGAAAAAAAAATGAATGTATAATAATTAATATAATATTTTTTGGTATATAATAGTTCATATAAGGTTAAATACCTCTTTTGATCCCTTACAATATTTTTTTGTTTCAATTTAGTCCCACTTTAATTTTAGGTCTCAATTTGGTTCCCAATAAATTAAATCATTGCAATTTGGGACTTCCGTCTAAATAATTTAAACAGAGTTAACTGAGGTGAATGCCACGTAAGTGGATCACAAAATACTGGAATACACCTGGAACTAGAACGGCCCGTTCTGAAACCAGAACGGCCCGTTCTGTTGGTGTGTTAATGTTGTACCTGGAATGGGTCGTTCCAGGTGCAAAATTAACACACCAACAGTGTAACCAGAACGGGCCGTTTTGGTTCCAGAATTTAATCTTTAATTTTTATTTTATTTTTGCTAATCTAATAAAAAAAATTCAATAAAATCCAAGTTATCGAAAATAAAAATTATCACGGGCGAATATTTACTAAAGTACAAATCATTTCAAACACTAGATTTGGTAATATTGTTAATGGGATTGATAATTTCAATTTCAAAACATTTGGGCTATATAGTGTATCATTAAGGACGATGCAGTGTATCACTAAGGACAATGGTAACAAGTTTTATTTCATTGTTAGTCAAACTGGAGTGAACCACTTACTACTAAATTGACACTATACAGTCAAGGATGAAACGAAATGGTGTTTTCCCTTGAAATCATTGACGATGTACCCCAACAATAACAACATGTTCTTGAGGAGGTACAACTTGAATTTTTGTGATTTAGGGTTTTCTTTCAACGTTATCCAGATGATTTCCTTTCTCAATAATTTCTTTGAACTTTTTTAGTATATGTTATGTTCTGAATTTTTGTTTTCAATTTCTGAATCATGTTTCTGTCTTTGAATTTATGATATATTATGAATTTTTATTTTCAATTTTTGAATCAAATTGTGGCATTTTAGTCAAGATTTTGAACTGGATAAGTTCAAATCAAAGAAGGATTTTAGAAGATCTTAATTTGATTTTTTTTAGTTTTATTCATAAATGAATATTAATTTATTGTATTTTTTATTTATTATATTTTTATTAATATAGATATAATAAAAAATATATAATTAAAAACATGAATTTGGCGTTCTGGAACGGGCCGTTCTGAATTCAAAACGGTCCGTTCTAAAAGCACCACGGCCCGTTCTAGAAGCAGAACGGCCTGTTCTGGTTTCAGGACGGCCCGTTCTGCTACACTCATGTTGTGTTAAATTTGCCTTTGGAACAGCCCGTTCCGGTTGCAAAATTAACACACCAATAGTGCATCCAGAACGGGCCGTTCTGGTTTCAGAACGGACCGTTCTGGTTCCAGGTGTATCCATGCAATTTGGCGTCTACGTACACATCCACGTGACATCTACGTGGCCAACAGTTAACCCCGTTTAAATCATTTGGAAGGAAGTCCCAAATTGTAATGATTTTAATTATTGGGGACCAAATTGAAACCAAAAATTAAAGTGAGACTAAATTAAAACAAAAAAATATTATAAGGGACGAAAATAGGTATTTAACCTTCATATAATAATAAAAGAGAGGTGAAAATAAATAATAAATATTAATGAATGAATAATATAATATAGAGATGTCTATATGTCATCATTCTTAAAATAATACATATTATGTAAATATTTTAAGGCAGATTACTATTCTTTATTTTTAAAACAATATTATCTTTGTATTAAAGGTAAATATTTTAAGGCAAATTATTATTTTTCCAATTATTTTGCTAAAATATTTCTTTTGTTAAAATAATCAATAAACACACGTTTTATTACAATTTTATATCTTTATGTAATTCATGGTTAAAATAAATTTAATATGATTGTAATTTTTTTTTACATTATATTCTCATTTACATAATAATTTTTTATTCACTTGGGTTAGCATGAATAGTGAGAAATTCACATCGTTTAATTAAGTAACTATAGATTGAATTCTAACTCTTGTGAATGCAAAAAAAAAAAAAAAAACTCAAGTTTGAAGGAAATATTTATCTATTTGGTGTTTGTCACACCCTCAAAGGAGATTTTCCCTGTGTTGGAATACTCTTTGGTAATTAACTAAAAAAGTATTATTATTTTTTTGTTTATCTGACCAAATTATTTTTATTTTCATGTAATTGAACTATTTAAATTAATTTAAATATTAGTATGTTATAAGGGCCCATAAGAGATTTAACTATTCATTTCAAGAATCAACTTCTTAAAAAAGGTTTTCAATAACTGGGCTCATAGAGCAACACAATATAATATCTTTACAATGGGATATCAAGCTTTTTAAAACATCTCCTTTAGTCTTAAGTCATTCAACACGACACAACTTAATGCCTTAAGCATCCTCAATATCACCGCCTCGAACATTTTAACATACAACTCTCAATAGTTAAATCTACAATATACATTATCCCAGATCAATGTATAAAAAACTAGCACCATATATCAACATACAATATGTAATGAATTCAACTAACATATACATATTCAACTCTTATTCAAGAAAACTAACATGTTTTCCTTAGGCAACTAACATCGAAAGACATTCTCCTCACACCTAGCATGAAATGAGACAAAGAGTCTTTGGTTCATCCACGTTTGACGCTAATATACTTGCGCTAGATGTGAATGAGGCAAAACTTCCTTGTGACAATCATGCTTAGCGTGGTTAACACCCACTTCTAGATTTGTTCAAACAGAAAGCCTCTACCTAACTCACACCTAATGTTACTACACGAGCATCCAACATCATTTAGGCAAAGAGCTTATGTCTTGATTATGCTGACATCACTCAACTAGGATCTGACATGACTAAGTCGAAGAGCATCCACACTTGATGTCCCTTAACCCACGTCTGATGTGACCAAGTCATAGAGCTGTCCTTTAACTCACGCCCAATGCTACCAACCTCACGCTCAACGAGAGTGAGGTGAATAGTCTCTAACCTACATCATGTCCAATGCGATGATAAATTTTACATTTGGTAGATTCACGTTTTGGTCAAAACCACCTAAAACTCAAAAGAATCCAAGCATGTAGAGGCATAAATAAACTTTACACATCATAAGCAATTCATTTCTCACCTAAACAACTACATGCACCAAGAATCGACCATTATTCACCCAAAATCTCCCTAAACATATTTAAAACTCTCAAAATCCCATAACACAAGGAATTTATCACTTAGTCATCAACACAACCACAATTTTGATATAATCCTGCAACATACAAGTTCAACAATCAACAAAACTTTAGGTTCTAGCTTCCTTTAACTCCTGTTCAAAGAGAAAAGAGGAGAACGAAGAAGAAAATGAGCTTCTCTAAGGAAACTCTACATGACACGACAAGCTCTGATTTTTGGCTCCACTAGCCTAAATCAACAACACAACTACTCAAGATCTTTAAGGAAGGATTTTACATCATCAACATACTCAAAAGAGGGAAAAAAATCTCTATAGCTCCATAACTGCTCTATTTAACTCATCTTTAACTTTCTTAAGAAACTGAACTTATGAAGTCCAATTTTTAAGAAAGGCCTTATATACCTTTTCTTTATTGGTTACTTAAACCTCTACCCCAAAAACTCTTAATGACTAAAACTTATCAAAAGTTTATAAATTCTCAAAATTTCTCAACAATTAAACAGTAACTCACCACAACACATAAATCAATAAAATAAAAAATAATTAATAAAAATGCAGTGTTACATTACCAAAATAATTTTTTATTATTATGACCATAACCAATTATTCATTTATCTGATTATTGTAATAATTTAATTTTCACATAATTTTTCTAAAAAAATCTAATAATCTGGAAAATAAATAAATAAATAAATAATGAGAGAGATTGAAAAATTAAATATTTAAAATAATAAGAATATAATTTGAATTCATTCATGTTAATAGTAATTTAAGAAAGAAGATGTAAATACAAGAAAAAATAACTAATTTATTAAAAAGGTTTTAGAATACTCCTAAAATGTTTCTAAATTTATGAGTTATTCATAATAATAATAGCTATTTAGTTAAAAAAAAGAAGAAAAAAAGAGTCCTAAAAAGTCAATAAAAATAAAATTGGGAATATTATTATTTTGGTATGAAAAAAGAGTTTGGGTAGTTTTTGACCAATGAGGCTGACCTATCTATCTTTGTTAGGGGTGCGCGTGCGAGTCCATCTATCAAACGCCACGGCAACGCAACTACCTCCTTCCTACTCATCTACCCCCACACTCTTT